TTGTGTTTTGCATATAATAAACTAGTGGCTACCTGGTCAGAGATCAACATATCAAATTGGGATTTTAATATGGTAATTGCTTCCTTAACCTTTGTATCGCCTGGATTCAATGTTAACTCCAACTCTTTCCCTTTAATTTCCTCTTCCAATTCTTTTCGTTTTAGCCCTTGTTTATGTTCCCCCAGGAACTCTTTGAAAGCCTTCATAAGGGTATGCTTGGACATTTTGGTGAAGTGGCAGGGCTTCGGGAGGCATAAAAATGCTGTATTCAGTGTATAAGATGCACCCAGATTTTCAGCCTCTTATTTGAGGAAAAAAGATGCGTCTTATACCTCGAAAAATATGGTATATATAAATAAATACAATTTGTATAATTAAAATATGTGTCTCCTAGGACCTTCAGAAGAACCTCCCCCATTGACAGAGACAGGCCAGGAAGATAACAAGTCTTCAACAGTCAAACAAGGTGATGAGATGGTTGAATCTGCGGAGGAAGAGCAACCAGCAAAGGAAACAGAAACAACGGAAACAACGCCTGCAACCTCCCTCCCTCCTCCAGGTGACCAAAGAGAAGAAACGCCTGAGGGAGAATAAGTGCCTCATTGTTTTAGCTATGTGTATTTTTTTTTAAGCTGTTACTTTTTCAAGGACTGATTCTGAGCTTAGACTCCCACTCCAATGAATGTTAAAAACTGTGCAGATAGTATTGCAAGAATATGTTTGAGAGGCGAGTGGGGGATTAAAGCATTTCAGTCTGGGCTAGTTAGTTGAAGTCTAACTCAAACATTGATTTGTATTTTTTTTCCTTTTTGCGTACTTACAAAGAAATGTAAACATGCTTAAATGGGTATTTTCCATAAAGTGATCTGAACTATAGTATTATTTGGTCTTTGAGCAAAGAGTGCTGTAAATGACTAAAAAGATGTCTAAGTTTTGCTTTAATAAATTAAGGATTTTTTTTCCTGAAAATATTTATCTATTAAGCTGAACTAAATCAATTTAAATATCCAGATGTTTACAGGAGAAAGGGTGCTTGGATAATTACCAAAAGCAGTACATTTGTGTCATTGAAACTTAAAAACTTTGCCACTCTTCATATTTTTCCTTGAAAGAATACAGTTAAAGAGGGCAGACTAGAATACGATGCCCCCTGTTGGGAGGTTCTGGGCACAGCAGATGAGCTGAAGATAGCATGTGAAATAGAAAGCCTAGTTTGTGTTTACATGAAGTGTAGGAATTTCAGCACTTGATTGTACTTGAATACTGAGCATTATTTATACTTGTACAATAATGATGATAAGTGAATTTTGTGTATTTTGTTAAGAGCAAATAAAGATTATATAGCATTAAGGGTTTGTTCAAAGCATATTCTCATAATTGACTTAAATCGGGTCTCTTAAATGAATCGTTTTATTACACACATTCTTGAATGTAAAACTAGTACATGAAAAGGTCAATAGAGCAGCTACTCCACATTCTTGTATGTACTATTATTATCGGGTAATTATTTACCTAGATTCCTCAAGGTCAAAAGAATTCCAGATTATATCACAATACGACATTGTTTGTCGCCATAGGTTATGCCCAAATACCATCCAAATCAGAATGAATACAAACAGCTATCTGTGAAGAAGCCTGCAATTTCAATTGCCATGTCTGCACATGGTTTTTAACCCATCCAGTTTTTTTAAGGGGCCAGGTAATTCAGAAGAGGGTCAGCAGGAAGTAATCTGTCGACAGTGTAAATGCTAAGAAGAATTGCTGCATCACTACCGCTCTGAGTACTTTTTCCACCGCTATATAGACTCTTACCAACATTTAGTCACATCTATTTTTGGTTTCCCTCTACTGTCAACTGGGCGGATTTTCAGTCACTTCATCTCCCTTAGTTCTTAAGTAAATCTTTGGGGTTGGTGCCTGGGAGGAGACCTTGCTGGCAGAATCTTAGTTCACCTCCAAGTTTCAAAGATTAACCAGGCAGATGCTAGAAGCCCTTGCCAAATTGTCAAGGAAATGCCCAAGCACCCTTTAGAAACACGAATCCATTAGATTTCTGGGGCAGATTATTTTAATTGGTACTCTGCTCCTGCAAAGGTTTGTAGCATCTGTGTATCCTAGTTTGATAAGCTCATGATTGACTCAACATGATGATGCTTTCCATCTATAGAACAAATTGTCTAGTTTGAAGTAAAGGCCAGAACTAGCACATGCAATCTTAAATGTTTGAAGGTTTCTATTTGTCATAGCACTGGATCCACTAGATCCATCCTTTAGGTTAAAGTTGAAGTCAGCTAGGATTAAACCCTCAGGAACTCCAAACCCCAATGGTGTGGGGGACACTACTAGGCAATTGGTTAGAGCAGTATTCCTTGTCACACAATCACAGGGACTTGACTTCACTGACCTTGATGTTATACTGTTGTAGGACCTGAAACCAAGCCAGGCAGCTTTCCAACAGTTATATGTCCCATTGCCAGGCCTCAGTAATACACACCAAGTGCACGCACTCATCCATCACCATGTCATAGGGAGAAGTGTCTTATAGTGCAATAAGGAAGTAGTGTTTATCAGGTGCACTAGGACAGTGTTTTTCAACCTTTTTTGTGCAAAGGCACACTTTTTTCATGAAAAAAATCACGAGGCACACCACCATTAGAAAATGTTAAA